GAGTGTGAGTAAGAAAAGAGAAGTCCACCGTCAAACTCATCGGAGGAAAACCACTTTTTGAATAACTGCAGTAGAAAGCATTGCAAAATGTCTGAAAAGTAGAGTTTGAGGATTTCTCTAAGGACTTACAAAGGAAGTCATGCTCAGAGTTTTTGTTTTTTTTTTGGTCTAAGATCATCGAATGAAGAACCACTGCAGTTTAATCTCGAAGTATAAGCGTTAACGGACCCAGTTACTTTTCACATTGTTGTACCTACCGATATACAAAACGTCAAAGGTTAAATATTGGCGCGTGCAATTGGTCCTCAGATTTTTTTTGATATATTGTCATTAAATGATTTGAGCTTGCGTCAAGTCTTTTGTCTGAACTCGGTGTAAAGTTTTTCACGTTTGGTCTTGAGAGCAGAACATGGCGGACGACTGGGCTCAGCCCTGTTCGAGACTCTCTGCTACTTGCACAGCTGAGTACGCCGGCACTGCAGACGGCTGTCGACTGAAGAAGGAAGCAGCTCGTTTGGGCTTCAAGCGCTTGATTTCTTTTCCTGAAAGACAAACACGACAGCTTCTTGTCATTTTTTCTACAAAGGGATTCCCTGAGACGCAGGTAATCCATTCAATTCATGTCAATTTAAGAAAGAAAATGCCCGTAGGCAAACCTCTCGCACACATCTAATAGGTGTGTATGAAGCAGCAACTGTTCTATATTTAAATAAAAGCAGCTCACAAATTAAAAAAAAAAACAAACTTCATTTAAATCAATTGTTGAGTGTTGTTTTTTTTTTACATGCATGCTGTATGCAACCAAGCACATATGCATGTATGTTTTCTTTTCTTTTTTTTTAAAGGAAAAAGTTAATTTTATTTCTGTGATGGGACATATATTGTATTGTACTGTTGGGGGGGGGGGTCTGTAGACCTTAAAATCATTTTATCATTTTAATCAAAAAATCATTTTACATTAAAGCAGTACTTCACAAATAGTGGGGCGGGCCCCCTAGGGGGGGCGTGGTCAAGTGCCAGGAGGGGCATGAAGGGCTTCCAATGGAATATGGCACGCATAGGGACATGTGTACCACAAGCCTCCAGTCACTAGGTGGCAGTATCTCATACAGTGGTTTGTACAAATTAAAAATGTACAAAGCATGTTTTAACTCTTGAAACTTCTATGAAGGACTGTCTTTTAAAACATTACTGTGTCTCTTCTCCCCTCGTCTCACTCCAGTCTTTCCCAAAAGAATCATCCAAATAAATTAACGCAACAGGTCGAGCGTCGCATGTAAATGACGTGCAACTTTTGGACGTGTTGAAATGGAGTGATCATCAGCGTTCAGTATTTCTGTTTTTATTTACGTTCAATTACCATCACCTCCTTTTCATATATCCCCTGATCAACTTTTATTATAATGTTTTTATTACGTTATTTTATTTATTATGCTTTTCCCGACACAACATATCCTGCGCAAGTGCTGATTTTTTTTTTTTAAACGTGTAAACGTCCACACTGCGGGTCCAATAAAGATAAAGGCAAATAGGTACTAATAGGTTCTGAAAGGTGCTGCATGTAGTCCAGGCCAATAAAATCCACTAAACTTACCAGTGTCCACATAGCTGATGGTGTTCAGTGAATGGACGCGGCTACACACAACACTGCTTTGCCTGCGCAGCCTCCCACGTCGGCCCCCGCGCCCGTTCTTGCCTCCGCCTTGCTGCTGAGAGAGACTGGCTTCACCGTCTGTTTCCAGAGTAGCTCCTTCCTCAGATGAAGACTTCAGTTCCACGCAGAACTCAATGAAGCCACTCATAAGCTCTGCCTGTTTCAAGATAACAAGATTTTTAAGAGTGACAGGGGAAAAGTGTAAAGATAATGAGTTATATTTTCTTTTTTTTTTAAAGATTTTCAGCCAATATCAAGCAAAAAAAAAGAGAACTGCATATGCTCCAGAGAGAAGTAAATGTGTCCCTTTCATCTCCTGCCCAATAAAAATGGATAAAAACAAAGTTTGGAAAAAGTTCATACATTAGAATCCACATCAGTTTTCTAACTTCTCTTGAGAATAAAGGGAAGAAACATCAAGAGCTCAGTAAGATCAGAACAGCTGTGACCAAAAAAAAGAGTGTTCAACAAATTCAATAGCTCTGCAGAACAGTCAAATGTATGTAGTTTTACAGTGATGTGAATATACTCCACATACTGGTGTAACAACCCAATCTGAATATTTAACTGTGGAAAATAAGGACGAGTGCAAACAATGTGTGACGCCCATCTGAATATTTAACTGTGGAAAATAAGTACGAGTGCTAACAATGTGTGACGCCCTTTTGTGGCAGTTTTTTTTTTTTTGACCACATTAAATTAAATTTTCCTACTTGTTTGGAGTAGATTTTTAGTAATTTGTTGACTGGTGTGCCATCTTCCTCTCCATCAAACTCCAACCATAGAATGTGTGAATCCACCTCCTCCTCGGGGTAGCTGTGGTCCCACGAGAGCTCACTAAAACGCAGGCCGAGAAGCACATGCTGCGAGGAGACATGTTCAAAAAATAATAATAATAATAATCAGAGAAAATGAAATAAAGAAAAAATCAGAAACACGAATGCTCCAAACGGAGCACAGAAGCTGGCCTGCTGGCCTCACCTTCTCCTTGACGTCCATCACATAAACTCCCTCCAGAGATATACCGATATTTACAGCTTTACGCTTTCCCCTTTGAAGGATACCTTGCACTGGTTTGTCAATTTCACCGAAAAAGAATGCACACCTGTTTGTTTGGAACAAAAAAAAAAAAAAAATCGGTGAATTTATCTTGTCCTGTGATTTTCGAAAAAAAAAAAAGAATGGGCTGCAAACACAAAATCTCACCCGTAATAAGGTAGAGAGTGACATGTGCTGAGGTACTGGTGTAGGAGCTGTGCGCGTTCATGGCTTGCAGCAGCTGTGCTGATCTTTCTGTACTCTGCCAACAGGTTCTGCTCCAGCTCCGCATGACGACTTGACTTCCCTCTCAGAGTGGAGAGCAGCCCTCCACTCCCCATGACAACATGCGCAGGCAAATAAGAGGAGAGCTTCTTCTCTCTGTGGAACGTGGATGAGTTTGCAATACATATTTAATGCGTCTCATCCGTGCAAATCGGGTCACAGGGTTGTATTAAATTTGTAATGCCTTTTTTAAGTTCTGTGCCAGAAACAAGGAACAAAAAGCAGCAACCAATTGAGATGGGTATGTAATGATGAAAAACAAAGCTTTTGGAACCCTGTTTTCCACAGAGGCCCGACATAAGACACTTATTCTAAAAATAGAATCAATAATGTCTATGCTATTATTATTTCCTTGTTAGGGCCTAAATCAGTCTGTGATGCATGTCATCAACTCATCTAAAATGATACCAGCGATGACAGTCACTGACATTATTAGATGATTACTGTATATTCAGAAGAGTTGGAAATGGCTTCAACTGTCAAAATAAAACCCATACATTTTCATTCAGTTCCGTTTTTAATCAATTTTACCAGAGCAGTTGTGGACATGTTATGGTGTTCACGGACAAGGATTTACGTAAATCAAAAACCCAGAAACATGAATGGGAAATGTCCTGTTTGTGTGAATTCCCAAAAACCCAGAAACATGAATGGGAAATTCCCAGAATCTCCATGATTTTTAAACATAAGTGTCCTGTTTGTGTGAACTCAAGACAGTTCTTATCATTTATTTGGAGCTAATCCTAGTCGTTTCATGGGCCAGCCTATATTATTGTCATGTGTGGCACTATTTTCTCTATTAAATATATCTTTTAATTTTTTTAATTGAAAAGAAAGATTAGCAAGGATTTCACCTTTCTTTGGTTATTAATTGTGAAAAAGGATCCTTTTGTTCCTGAGGACCAATTGTTGTAATACAGGATGTAAAAACTGTTACATCAATTTTACACCTATATCCAAAAGGAAACAAATCAATTATTTGCCTTTTTGCTATTTCAATCCTTCTGATTAGTTCCTTAATGATTAATTTATTAAGCAACCTTTTTTTAAAAAAACATATGCCTGACCATGATGAGTGTTCATAAAAAACATGTAAAGGAAGATTAGTACCGGCGGTGGGTATGGGTGGAGTGCTGCCTAAATGGGTTAGAGACTAAATTTACTGCCAGTCAAAGTGGCCTTTCTGCATATCCGAGGTTTCATTTCTCATTAATTGGCCCTTTTCAAATGCACATCCAACTGTATTTTCACCTGCGTCACAGCAAACTTCTTCATTATTGCCTTGAGTTTTCTAAAATTACTATCTAAAAGACTATTAGACTGATTAGATAACCATTATGAAATACAGTAATACTATTAAAACATAATACATATTTTAAAAAGTCTTGTCAATGTCCAGTTTCTTAACTTTCTTAAACAGCTTTTTTTTTTTTGATAGTGAACCCATTTTGTCACACTTTCTTAACTTTCTTAAACAGCTTTTTTGATAGTGAACCAATATTTATTACAGTGATTCAATGTCAGCATAAAAAAAAGGGGTGTCTTGCAGTTAGTACTTCGTCGTGGTAAGTAACTGAGTGGAATGAACTTAAAAGCATAACAGGAATAGGGAGGAGGAAGAGAACAATATTGCGGTGCAAAAAGGATTTCTCACAACAGGAAGTGCATTGTCTGCCTTTGAGAAAAAGTGTTGAAAAAGCAAAAAAATACAACAAAAAAAAGCTACAATTGCATTGTCTGCCTTTGAGAAAAAGTGTAAGCTACAACAACTAGTTCAAGGTTCTAGTGTTAAACAATCATAAGGGGATAAAAATCAAAGTTTAATCTCCAGGCTGTTGTGTCACATTTACAGTGAATAGCATAAGTTCCGCCGGTTTCCCTTGAACTTACCTTAAAGTTGATGTAAACTGCTGGCTGTCCAGACCTGTTCCCTTGTCCAGCGCAAAAGACAAGGCTCCAAGAGTCATCCAGTGCTCGGGATCACAGGGATAACGTCCCGTGAGGATGTTGTCCTTGGCCTCTTCGTACAGAAGTTTTAGCACAACTTCAACATCCACCTGTTTAACGGTGATACAGTAAGAATTATTCAGCACGTAGGCAACACTTAATGTCTTAAAATATGGGTATCAACCTATATAACAACTTGTAAAAATGATCACCTGCTGCTCTTTGGATTTTGGATAAAACACATTCCGTCTGTATTGGAGACATGGTTCATCTGGAGAAAATGCAGCAAAGAGGGTATACATCTCTTTCATATTTATATATATAATAGTCACAATAATGGTTATTTAATTTCACCAGAAATGTACTGTGGGTCAAAGTTAAAACAGCATCATAATCAATATCTGTATATTTAAAATAAACATGTTCGTTATCTGTTGACTACTTTAATTTATTCAGTGGTATTTTCTTCTTTTAAAAAAAAGTTACAGCTATTTCAGTTTTAGGAAAACTTGTCGATGAATTCTTACCAAGTGATATGTCCTCCTCTGAGGCATCAGTGAAACGATACAGCAGATCCTGCCACTGCCGACACAGTTTGTACGGCTGATGTCTCACCTTTAACTGCAATTCTGTGAAATTATAAAAAGTTACACCTCACGTCTACACGTAGACACAAATGTTGGAATATCTGAAGGAAGATGAGAGAGAAAGTTCTTACCAAGCAGTGGAGAACACAACCAGAAAGTAAATGCATCCTGTACAGAGTCAGGGATATGAAGAGCCTCGCGAACATTTCGGCCTAGCTCCTGAACATTAACATTGCCTAGTCCTTCCAGAGTGAGGTGGATTGCACTCTCTCCAAATAAATAGATAATCACATCTTGAACTGTAAGTGTAATTCATATAACAGATTAGCAACATTAGAAATTATTAACAATAACAACAATAATAATAATAATAATAATAAATAACAAACAATAATAATCACTGTACCTCGGGTTAGTGTTGCAGAGGAAGCCACACTTCCTCTTTGTGACTGGCCATCCAATGAATCTGGAGGAAAACTGCAGTCATCTCCATCCATCTCTACATTAAAAAAAACAACAACAAAAAAACGATCAAATAACTTTTAGAAACACATTTCAAAATAACATAGCAATAGTATAACAACTGCAATGTTTAAGATTGATTTCAACACAGATAAAAATCACTTCATAAAGTAAGAACTAACAAATAAATAAATAATCAAATGACCTTTTACAGTTGTCTTTAGGAAGTTGTGTATGTGTCAAATTGTTAAACAAAACCAACTTGTCCACTTTGAGGTTAGAAAGGTTTCAGGGAAAAAAGGAGATGGACTGAGACTTTAAACTATAATAATATATATACAGTGTATACACACACACACACATATATATACATACATACACATATATACATATATATACAAAAAACAGTTTTTCAAATCAATTTTGTTTGTGATTACAACAC